ACAATGTGGTAAACTCTACGTCACTCAGAGTCATTCAATGTGAAAATGAGAATCGAAAATTTCAACTAGTGCGGACAAAATTGTTTTCCTTTTTTTCTTACAATGTATTCACAAGTTCACAACAATCGTAGAAAATAATTGAACATTGACAAAAGTTTGATTCAAGTAAAAATGAAAATCATTTGACACACTAATTTTGAACTTTTCATATTATATGGCGGATAATGTGTTTGACCCCTATAACACGATTCACTGTTGATGGAAATATGAAAGTTTAGAATGAGTACTTTCTTTGGTAAAAGTTTTCGGTGAACATAGTTTGCCATGAAGTGTGAACTTTGATTTAAAAAAAACAAATGTTCTTTTAGTTATCAGGTAAAAAAGATGGATCATATACTTATAGAAGAGAGGTAAAAGATACCAAAGGGGACATTCAAACCCAAAAGTCGAAAATAAACGGTCAACGCCATGGCTAAAAAAAAAAGACCAACAGACAAACAATAGTACACAAAACACAACATACAAAGCTAGAGACTGAGAAACAAGAGCCCAACCAAAATCTGGGAGTGGCATAGCCTCTGGTATAGATTATTTAACTGGATTTTGCACAATTGATAGGACTTTAAGCTTGCAGTGGTCTTCAATATCGTGTTTATTTTTGCCTTTCAAATACGCAAATATGACATATCAAAGTATAAGTCCAGTATCTCTTATGAGTGTTTGTTTGAACATATTGTTGCCGAAATGTAGCAGGTTATATGACATTTATGTATATTAGGTTATGCCTTGAGTAAAATCTTTTGAGTACACAAACATAAAATGCATACACCTATATTAATGTTTAATACCAATAATGATTTAAGAAACTCATAAAATGTATATGAAATATGTGCTATTTGTAATAAAATTGAGAATGGAAATGGGGAATGTGTCAAAGAGACAACGACCCGACCATAGAGCACACAACAGCCGAAGGCCACCAATGGGTCTTCAATGCAGCGAGAAACTCCCGCACCCGGAGGCGTCCTTCAGCTGGCCCCTAAACAAATATGTATACTAGTTCAGTGATAATGGACGTCATACTAAACTCCAAATTATACACAGGAAACTAAAATTAAAAAATGATACAAGACTAACAAAGGCCAGAGGCTCCTGACTTGGGACAGGCGCAAAAATGCGGCGGGGTTAAACATGTTTTTTGAGATCTCAACCCTCCCCCTATACCTCTAGCCAATGTAGTAAAAACGTTGTCCGATTGTTAAGTACGTTTGAAGTAAATGATCTGCGTTATAAAATTGAAATATTTGTTTGACAGTAAATAAAAACGGCCTTTTGTGAATTATGTGCAAATGGGAATAACACGTATAAAATTATTTGCTGGGTACCATCAATGGAAAGTAATCTAACAACTTAAATATTTAAAGTAAAGACATGCCGTTAAATTGGCTAATTGGCAATCGTATCATATTTTCTTATTGTTATAATCAACAATAGACATGTACTTTTACAATATTTAAGGCTTTTTATCATCTTATCAATCGGACAGTACAGAATGAAGCAAAGATTCCTATTAAAAATATTGCATTATCCAAGTTGAATCATCAGATCGAATCTTTCACGGACACCAAAATGAGTTTGTTGACAATTTTAGGATATCAGATGACTACGATATGCTTACACTTGTCGTAGTAGCCTTTCGTTATCTTTTCTCATATTGTGAAATCACCTGCTGCGACTTAGCACAGATAACACGTGAGACAATAAAACAATTGATGTCATGCACTGGTGAATCATGAAATGATAACCCTTCATGATTATTTTAGTACATACATTGTCTTTTTTCAAAAAGGGTTGCGATGATATATTTTGTTTTGTTGGTTTTAAGTATAAACAAAATATCAAACTCCAAGGTACTTCAAAAAAGGGTAGTCCAAAAAACCTGACAAAATCGATCAATAGACTATATGAACCAATGAAACGAATGGAAAAAAATGTTTGTATCAATGATAAGGTACCGGCATCTCCCGAAGGTAATGGTGAGATAAAGATGGTTTAATAGCTACCTAAACCTTCCACTTATGAAATATGTTTATAGTTCCGTTATATTGACAAAATTTGTTATTTATGTCTGTGGTTTTTAGCTCATCGCGGCCCGAAGGGCCCTATATGAGCTTATGCCATTACTTGGCGTCCGTCGTCGTCCGTCGTCTGTCGACGTCTGTCGTCGTCTCTCGTCGTAAACTATTTAAAAAATCTTCTCCTCTGCAACTTCTGGGACAAATACCTTCAAACTTTAACTAAATGTTCCTTAGGGTATCTAGTTTATAAATTGTATTCAAAGTTTTGATTCATCAACAAACATGTCCGCCATGGCTAAAAGTAGAACATAGGGTTCAAATGCAGTTTTTGGCTTATATCTCAAAAACTAAAGCTTTAAGAGCAAATCTGACTTGGATGAAATTGTTCAATTGGTCAAGATCCATCAGCTCTGAAGTTTTTAGACGAATCAAACAACCCATTGTTGGGTTGCTGCCACTAAATTGGTAGTTTTAAGGAAATTTTACAGTTTTTTGTTATTATCTTGAATAATATTATAGATAGATATAAACTGCAAACAGCAATAATGTTCAGCAAAGTAAGATCTACATAAAAGTTAATATGACCAAAATTGTCAATTGCCCCCTAAGGAGTTATTGCCCTTGAAAGACAATGTTACACAATTTGTTCATCAAGTTTGCTAACATTTAAAAATCTTCTCCTCTGAAACTATTGTGCCTAATACTTCCTAACTTTAAAGGAATGTTCCTTTAGGAATCTAGTTTATGAATTGTATTCAAATTTTTGTTTCATCAACAAAATGACCGCCATGGCTTAAAAAAGAACTTAGGGGCAAATGCAGTTTTTGGCTTATATCTCAGAAACTAAAGCATTCAGAGCAAATCTGACATAGGGTTAAAATGTTCAATAGGTCAAGATCTTTCAGCCCTGAAATTTTCAGACAAACCGAACAACCCATTGTTGGGTTGCTGCCACTAAATAGATTATTTTAAGGAAATTTTGCAGTTTTTGGTTATTATCTTGAATATTATTGGAGATAAAGATAAACTGTAAACAGCAAAAAAGTTCAGCAAAGTAAGATCTACAAAAAAGTTTTGTATGACCAAAATTGTCAATTGACCCCTTAAGGAGTTTTTTCAGGACAATTTTACACAAGTTGTTTATGTTTTTTTATTTTAAAAATCTTCTCAAATGAATTAAGTATAAATTTTGTATTTTATTTCCTTGTACGTCAAGAAACATAGACACTATGGCTAAAATGGAACATATGGGTAAAATGTATTTATTTGCTTTTGAAGAAAATATGACAGATACAATGAACATTTAAATGGCATTTTTAAGCAACTCATTAATATATATTGAAAAGCAAAAATAATCATTGATGAAAGATTTAAGCAAACAAATAACAGGTGAGCGATTCAGGCTCTTGAGAGCCTCTTGTTTTTCTAGCAGTTACAGTCTTTTGTCATAAACACGATTGTTTTTACTTGAAACTTTCAGATTTAGTATGTTTAGAATACGAGAATATACCTGACAGATGTTTAATAGATTTGAGTATTTCTTTGGGTAACAAACGAAACGATCATGTATCAGCTAATATGATATATGAACGTAAGAATACAGATTTTAAACACAAGGGACACAGGTGCAGCTTGAGCTCCGAAAACCCTACGTAGCCCCTGGGTTAACCACCGATTTCGATGGTATTGTGGTCTTTGTTCTTTAGCCTTTTTTTCTTTTGCTTTATAAATTTATATAAATCATTTTTTTCCTGGCCATTTTAATTTCAATTGTTCAAAAGGCTTCTGATACATGTAGCTCCAGTGGTATTGTGTCTTTTATCCTTCGTAATTAACACTATATTTGTTTTCCAAAAAACAAGAGGCATAAGACATGCACGTGACTATGTGCAGGAAATGGTTTGTTTTCTAACTTTATGACTGTTTTAGTAGATGAAGATAAGACAGAGCATGCAGATTAAACAGTACAGGAAAAGTGCTTAACTATAAGTTCGTGGAATAACGGAAACACAAGTACAATAAAAAATATGTTCAGATTTATCGCATCTTATGTGAGTTGATTGAAATTACCTAATCTGCTTAACATGTGAAATAATTGCCACTCTTAAATATCTTGTTGTTTTCGTTCATTGACAAACGTTATATAGGAAATATGACTTTCCAATTTAAATAAAAATCTTTGTAAAGAATATTTGATGGTAACTTTGAGAAATCCCAAATTCTGATGAGAACTAAGAACCCTTCAATTTAAAAGATATATGCAATGTCAAATCAACCAATACCTGGATACCTAAATAAAGGCAACAGTAGTATACCGCTGTTCAATAGTCATAAATCGATTAAGCGAAAACAAATCCGGGTTACAAACTAAAACCGAGGGAAACACATCAACTATTAGAGGAAAACAACAGAACAACAGAAACACTGAACTGCAACCAAAACAAACGCCAACACATATAGAAACGGACTATTTGATAACAACTGGCATTTTCCCGACATTTTAAGAAAAAATGATGGGTTAAACCTGGTTTTATGGCTAGCCAAACCTCCCGCTTAAATGTCAATGGTAAAAAAACTGCTAAAATGACAACACTACGTGATAGGAATACAATACAAATAATCTTAAAAACACTCAGGACTCAGAAATACATAAATAAATAGCATAACAGTACATTACAACATGTAAACAGCAGATTACCAACGAACACCTCCCCTGAATTTACGACACATCTGGACACCACAAACGAAGTATTAACTGCACGTCACATGAATGACTCAACGCCACAAAAAAAGACGTATTTTTTGTGACGTTTATATTATCACAGCTAAATTTCTAGAAATAAATAGACAGTCTAAAATGTAAAAAGATTACAAAATAATGCTCCAGTTTTGTTTTTATTTCATATAATATCTTGAAAGACATTGATATCTTTATTTATATCACTGATTAAAAAAAGTTCAGACTTGGAAAGTTTCTGAACCGGAAAGTAGGCGATTCTGCTTCACAGTAAAATTGTTTCCCAAAATGTGAATGATCTTCCTTCCTATACCCCAGTTCCAGACTGAAGGAACACATCTCGTTGTCGTTTTCCATTCTGTAAATGAAATTTAATTTTCGACTGTCAATCAGTATACTCATTCTCAGCGGCAATTATTGATGTAAAATATCAAACAAACATCGATAATTCTTATCCTCCTAAATGTGATTCTAACATTCGAACTAAAAATCAACGTTTTTAACAAAACTGACATATAATTGTTGTACGCTACTAGATTCCAAGGGGTATGCTGACACATAAAACAAATAAATGTATACCCTATGTAATAAGTATGTACTGAAAGAAATATGTCTGTCAAATTCTGTGAACACATTCTGTGATATAGAAGTGTTATGGGTAGATTTGTATTTCGCCATTACTGGTATTTAATAGAAACGTGAAAATTTGTAAACCCATATTTTCGTACAAGTATATTACTGGATTTTAATGAATCTCCAACAACATATTCATATTCGGATAAATATTATGACATACAAATTGAATATTCAATATACTGTGGATTTATTATTATTCGTTGGATACCAATTTTCGTGGGTTTCGTGAGTACAGGTGAACCACGAATTCAAATGTTCAACGAATAACATATTTGCAATTAGCTTTGTATACAGAGATTTGCAAAACGACGAAATCAAATATCCACAAATATGCAAGTTTTCAGTAATCAACGAAAATTGATTTCCACGGAAATAAAGGAATCCACAGTATTTTACCAATGTAAATGCAGTGGAGTACATCTTTGAACTATGCCAACTTGGGTTTAGAACCAGCTCATTGTTGTTTTTGTGACGTGTTTGCATCTAGTGTGAGGGTTGTGGTCTTGATATTCCTTGTATTCAAATAGGATGTGCGAATTTGTTTACATGTAGCCATGTTGGGTTTTTAACTGGCATATTTAAAGAACGGCTTTGTATTTTGTACAAGTTGGTTCATATGGTAATTGCATTGACATGTATTTACTTATTCAAGTATGCTTTAAACAATAACCAGTGTGCATTCAGGTGTACAAATGTATCCATATAGTTGCTACACTAAAAACTATGTTTACAAACGTTTATCAAATTTGCCAACCTTTATAAGGAATCATACATTTAAGAAAAGTTCAACAAGTAGACTTAATTACATGAAATGTTTGAAATGACATAAGTGATAAAACATTAATCAGATATAATAATAACTCAAAATCATAAATGTGCATTTTTGTCAAGTTGTACATGGACAGCAAATTAGAAATTCAAAGAACAAACCATAGATATAGAACACTTAACAACATAATCATGATAATATATACAGTGTTGTTAGCACTTGCTTAAATAATATGTTGTTTTTAAAAACGAATCTTATGCTGATCTTATAATTTCTATTTATTGTAATGACAAGAATTTTAATCATATTTCAAGATAGACATCATAGTTATCGTCTACACAGCTAAACTGTTGAAATTTGTAAAGGTTACGTTGTTATATTTGTTCTTGAACCTAATGCAGGACATTAATTTATGTTTTGTAACAGTTCGCTCTTGTGAGTGGATGGCAGTTATTGATTTAAAAAGCTGTTCAATTAATTTGATTATTTATGAATAGTACGCAACATTCAGGCTTCTCGTGACGTCAATTATGCATAGGTGAAAATAAGAAAAGCTTGAAATAACGCGTTACGCCATGGTTGTAGTACATGATTAAATAGAAGAACTGAATGATTCTTATTCGTAATTTGATATGGTCGTGAATTCATTGACCGTTCCCACATATCTTAGTACGAAGTGCTTCAACGCTTTATACAAAATGTGAATCTATGGAAAAAATGTAAAATGAACAAAATACCATGAATGACGAACTCTAAGAAATCTGAAAACCGAAAGTGCCTTCAAAAATGGCAAAATTACAAGCTCAAACAAATCAAACGAATGGAAAACAACTGTCATATTTCTGAATTATTAAAGGCATTTCCTGATGTAAAAAAGTGGATTAAACCAGGTTTATAGCTAGCGGAACCTCTCACTTGTATGACAGTCGAATACAATTATATTATACTGACAGCAACTTGTGACCAAAACAATCAGACATAATTAATAGGTATAGATTTCATAAAAGGGGTAAAGCAGTCAATATCGTGGTATAATCTTTATCACTATCAAAATTTTATAACAAAGAAAAAACTAAATGACTTGTAGACACTCTAAAGACCGTCTTACCGTGTTTATATATTCCAACTCGTTCGATATGCCCATGTCTTTAGTTATGTTTAGGATTTTAATGAGTGTAATCTATATATTACTAGTAAATTATTAACTTGATTGAGTCAGGGATTTCGTTACCACAAATAATTAAAACCTTTACTTAATCCTAAGATACAAAGATTTGGTCTGCAAGCTTAGCTGTACCTGTAGACAACTTATTTCAAACGGAAAAGCACATCCGAATTTTTATGGTGATGCTGAAATACGAGCCCGGAAATTCAGATACGATCCCGGTAAACGTAAAAATCCTTGAGATAAACTTATTCTAAAAGGTTACCTATTCAACACTGTAATTAATTCCTGGCATATTGTTTTTTTTCAAATTTGGTGTAAATATTGATTTTGTTATCAGTAAATTAAAACCATACTAAATATTACACATATGTACTGTCACGGGGCTACAACCTGGCGATACTTATAGATTGGCATTGCACACGTTCATGTTTTTCTCTGACTGTTATTAATATATTTATACATAATCCATTGGATGGATGTCGGATGTTTACTGTTTGAAATTTTAGTCTTAGATACATGATTTTTTCATAAGTTGTTATTGACTTTGAAACAGCTGTTACTGTACTCTCAGATCTGTACTTATTGCCTTTTTGTTTTTGGGATGTACAAGTACCCGTTCACGTCGTGTTTTGTATTTCTATTTGTATCCATCTAATGAGTTAAGCCTTTTTCAACTGATTTTTTTAGTTTGTTTTAAATATTGTACTGTGACACCCCTGTCCCAGGTTAGAGGAGGGTTGAGTGCTCACATACATGTTTAACCCCACTACATTATGTATGTGCCTGTCCCAAAACAGGAGCCTGTAGTTCAGTGGTTGTCGCTGGTTCATGTCTGTCATATTTGATTTTCAGACACACTTTTGTTATAAATAAGGCCGTTAGTTTTCTTATTTGAATTGTTTCATAAGTTTCATGTCGGAGCCTTTTATAACCGACCACACGGTATGGGTTTTTCTCGTTGTCGAAGGCCGTACGGTTGCCTGTAATTGCTTACATCCACTTCATTTGAACTTTGGTGGATAGTTTTCGCATTGACAATCATACCACATCTTCTTATTTTTATAAAGCAGATAAGCAAAAATGAAAGACAGGAATAAAAAAATGACAATAGCACAATACTATAAAGGTGGCATGTATGAATACCGAGCAATGCCAAAAGAATGATACCAAAAATTGACTAAACAGTAAAGGGTAAAAATATACAAAGACAATTTCTATGTACATATGACTAACAGCATTTTCGGTTATTATGCAAATTTCCATTCATTTAAAAGTTATTGATTGTTTTTGTATAATCTTACCCAAAATGAATATCCTTTGCATTTGAATTGATGTAAAGACATCTAGCAGCCTAAAATTAGATATAAAAAGATGAAGCACACAAATGAGAATCATTAGTTAAAAAAAGTTAAATAAAAAAAACATAACCAGAAGATAAAAGACATTCCTAAATGCTTGAAAATTCAATGTAAGATTATTTTTAATTTTTCATTATTCCTTATAACTGTTAGACTTTATAATAGTATACAGCTGTTATTATACAGCACGAAAAAGACAAATGATACGTGTTTTATGAATAAATTTGAATATGAACTTTCAAAGACAATTTATTTGGTGGACAGAATTAATAAACTATTTAGAATACCAAAAATAGGTTTTAACAGAACACATTCATTGATTTAGCATCATTGATCATCATAAACCGTTGGTGATATCGGAGGATCTGGAACGGTAAGCAGATTCAGTTCTACATATGAAACCCTTTGGGCTAGTCACATAAATGCAACCCCGGTGATAATTCTCATTCGGTTGGTCAGCTTTGAGGGAAAAAGGACGGGGTTGTGCATGTTGTGATAACGAATTTTGTAAAATATCCATCATCTGTGATGGCGTCCGTAAAATTTTCGTAAGTTTAAGGCTACTTTGTTAGCATCAATCCTCTACCAATGAATCATAATAGGAAATGTATGTTCTAAAATATCGTATCGACGGGGATATACAATTGAGAATGGAAATATGAAATGTGTCAAAGAGAAAACAACCCGACCAAAGAGCAGAATACAGCCTAAGGCCACCAATGGGTTTTCAACACAGCGAAAACATCTCGCACCCGGAGGCGGGCTTCAGCTGGCCCCTAAACTGTATATGTATATAATGTTTAAAATATTCTCGCAAATGGATAAAAAGACTGCAAGTTTTATCAATCATTTAAAGTCGATTATATAGCATCTTGGTTCAGCGCGTGAATTTTAGTGGTTTCAAATTAAAAACTAGTTATGCTTAATTTGCAGTTAGTCACATGATCAAAAGGGTGCTTGTTTTAAAATCAATATTTTAACGGTTTGCATCTTCTTGTGAAAGTGTGGCGAAAGATACCAGATGGACATTCAAACTCATAAAACTGACAACGCCAAGGCTAAAAAAGAAAAAAAAACAGATACAATAGTACACAAAAAAACAACATAGAAAACAATTGACTAAGCAACACGAACCCCACAAAAAAACTTAGGGTGATCTTGGGGGTAAATTAGTCATTCCTATAATAGATGTTATTTTTTGTCATTTGGACAAACAAGACCAAACAAATGTCATACCCTTCATGTGGTTGCAAACAACTCAGGGCTACCTTTCACAAATGTTGAAGAGACCATGCATGAGTTATCTTATCAACGAACTAATAGAGACCACCAACTTTGAGAATCGGTGTCGATATATGATTGATGATACATGTGATATGCAACTATCAAATGAAGGCGCAGCGGTAATTGTAGTCTCCCCATAGAAAGTCAGTCGATATTTGAAATCGTCATATATTACTAACCAGTATATCCCCATGTTCTAATCGTTTTGGTCCTCCAAGTACTTCATACCAGTTCTTAAAAAATAAAAAAATAGAAATTCAAAGAAAGTTGTAATTACAGGATGAAAAGTTACGCAAATGTATTGCAGCATGTAGTTAATCATTACTATAAAATTCGGAATAGGCGTAATATAAAGTGTTTTTTTCTCTCTCTTTTTGATATTAAGAACGAACTTTTACGAATCATTAACATTAATAACATGATCTTGTAAATCAATTGTTAACTGAAATGACATTAACAGTACTATTGTTTTTGCACCAGATGCGCATTTCGTCAATAAATGTCTGTTAAGTAAAACGGTTATTTTGATTTTAAAAGCTCAGAAAAGACTGAAAATTAATTATTAAGTTATTTTCAGACTTTAATTATTATTTAAGACTAATCTACTCTGGTAAATTCAGTACTTGTCAGACACTTCGCTTGCAGTTAATTTTAGATCTGTTAATTCTATGTTCAGATGTTCTGTAGGTTTTTCTTTGTCACCTGTGTAAAACGAGATTTGGATTTGCCGGAAAAGGTACTGAACAGTGATGAATTGGCCGTAAGCAAAACGTCTGAACCCGTATTGAATTTAAAACAAGAAAATATCTAAACATGACATAAAGTCATATGATTTTTTTTCAAAAGTTGAATATGTTTTATATAGCTGAATAGCTATGTTTTACTATTAAACAAGTATTAATGAACTTTACAAAAAATAAATAAACATCCTTAATCTTATTTAAATCTTCAGAACTGTACTGCTATCAAATTATCGTCTTCATGTTCTCTAATTCAGCAATATTATGTTCCGTATGAAGTTACCTTAGACACGAGATTCCTCGTTAGAACTTTGCCATCCGCACCAATGCGAGAGCAAAATGTATTTAAACGTGTTTAAAGAATGTAATCAAACGTGCTCTTGAAGGTAAATAGTGTTACAGTAAACATGTAATTATTCGCAGGAGTTTTAATTTCTACATTATCGCGGAAAGACCGGAAATGCAAAAATTAAAACTTCCATAAATAGTTCAGGGAAAACTGATTCAAAGTATGAAGACCATTCGGTAACGTATAGCAATTGAATAATCGCTCGATTACCTCATTTGATTTCCAGGTGCTCCATGATTTTGAGTTGATTGTATATCAAGGTTACGATCAGGTAAACTTCAGCATCAAACACGAACGTTAATAAGTAGCTTAAGTTCGTAAGTACATTATAGAGTTGTAATAAAAGTAAACAATGTACATAGAGGATGTAATACAAGCGAAGAGCTTTATCTATCTCCTTAACTTTAGCAAAAACAATATAACTTTTGGCACATTCAGGAATTTCACACGACAATAAAAGTACCAACAAACATTAAATTCTTCAATTATCTGTAATAATTAGCTGCTTTGAATGCAAGCTAAATAATTAGAATTGACACAATACCTTTGTCTTAGCCTGAGATAGAGCACTTCCTAGAAGTATCCACGTTCCATTTCTTATTAGAAATGCCTCCACATGAAAACCTTAACATGATCAATGCAAAAAATTTCAACGTTACTATTAGTTCTAAATAAAAGTAAGTTTTGATGTTATGCGAATCTAACTTAGTTAACTTACTTTGTAGCTTGTCAAATGCATGTGAATTTTTTTTTCTAAACACCCTCTGTCTTAAATAATGCGTGATTACTTATATTTGCACTATTATTTTGACCATTTTCCCTTTCTGCTCGATTAAAAATATATGTGTACATTTATCAGAATTACAAAAGCTCCATTGGAAACATTGACATGGCATGATAGCGTACAAATATCAAAATCATCGGAGTGAGCGCCATCGAATTAACCATCTGCACGACAATTGCCGTTAAACATGTGTCGAGAAATAAATATATATAAGTATAATGAGAGATGTTCTGTTTTATTTAATATAATACATATTAAGTATAATGAATATCATCGTTTTACCTTAAACGTGTCTTATATGTCAAAAGATCGATCTCCTCCTTTTGGATTTCTAGTTACATGCTTTCAGCTGATGTTTTAATCAACGTTCTGCGCACATGTGCAATCGTATTCAATTCAAGTCAATTCATAAGTTGCATGCATATTATAAAAATGAGGTCAACACAGTATTGACTTCCAAGTAAATTGTTATTTAATATTCCGTTTTCGTAAATGTTTGAACTTATACATTGTTATACTGTCGGAATCCTAGCTAATGGCTTAACATATTGTCGGAAGAAAGAAGAAAGCATTTTTTATTCTATTCATTATCAAATGCCACAAAATTGTTTAATCTTACCCGTCTATTTCGTTTCATAAAAGGAATTAAATTATGGCAAAAAAAAGTTAGTAAGAAATTTGAGAATATTCCAATGTGTACATACAAGACTGTTTATGTTTTATGATCTTTTGTGATAATCAACCAATGAAAAAGTAGATACTGTAACATTTAATTGAAAGTAGATCACAGAAAATTAAGTTAACAAAACGTGAAACGAACACTGCATAATGAATAGCATGCATTTTTCTTAGCTTATGCTATACAAACCTATATGATGTGTGTGTACTCGATAACGGTAAGCTTTTGCACTAGGCAATTCCCATCGACACGCAACATTTGTCAGAAACCCTGAAATAGAACATAAGTGCCAAGCATATTTGAAGAATAATATAATATAATATTGTAAAATGTACAACTTTTCCTATTAATCGGGCAAAATAGAGACACAATCTGTATGAAAAAGGCTAAAAAAAACGTATAAGAGAAAATATGGGTATAGGTCAAGGATTCTATTTCCGAGAAAACACACTGTTCCGAGGAACTTTTTAATAGATATTTACAGTAACGAGAGTTTCATCAAGATTCCGTCCCCCTTAGTATTCATAAGTTCCGGAGATAAAAACAATGTCTTATGAATTTATATATTCAGTTATTATGCACTTGAAAACACTGATCGAAGATAACTGGCATTCAATTTCAAACGCAAGACGCCAGTTTCGTTAGTTCACTAAATCATAATTTTGGCCATTAACATCAATATTTTTTTAAACTTCGATAATAGAATAATAATTTGATGAAAACTTATATGTAATAATGTCCAATTCTTTCAGTTAAGAATTGTTTCAACGATTTGCATCCTTTGTGATGTATTTGTGATGTCATACATATTTGTGAATTTATTTTAAACTATATTGTCTGTATAATATGGCAACACTTTATGACAGTTTAAATTTTGAAAGTGTCGTTGTGTTCCGCAAAAGAACAAAGTGCAATAATCATTCAATAAATGAACTAAAATATGAATAAAGAACATTGAAAAGATGGATTCATTAACCATTTTAGTAAAGCATGACCTTGTTCAATGCCACACTGCAATATCTCAAAAACTATATTGGTGTCATAAAAATCACACAACATTGATGATTATTGCCCCTTTACGTTACGTTAATTAGTTTTCTCTTGTGAAGTTCCTTACTAATGTCAGCATCCAGTAAGACTTTATTCCTACGGCATGCATTTGTTCTGGAGTTTGGCATATGTGTTCTTCTATATCTTTAGTTCATTGTTCAATAATATTGCACCGTCCCATTTTTATAACTCATACTGTTGTTATCCATTCGTTTGATGTGTTTGCGTTTTGATTTTGTCATTGATTAGGGACTTTCCTTTTTGGATTTTCCTCGGAGTTCAGTATTTTTGTGATTTTACTTTTTACCTTTAGATGTGTTACTTGGGATATATCCTCTGTTACCAATCGTATACAATTGGAATTGATACCGAGTCCTAAAATGAATCGATAATATTTCATATTTGGATCGACACATTTGATGATAAATTCTACATTTGATGTTCACGTTTTTCATATACGCATAAAATGAGAAATGCTTTCAGAAAGTATAAGGCCAATGGTCGTAATAAGTGGTCATCACAGATCAACAATGATCAATCTAAGTACTTTTTTCATCAGCCAATGTGTTTTTTTTTTTCACTGAATCAAACAGGAGTATGATAAAGGGTATTGATCAAAACGGTCCCCATAATGTACAGAAGATAAAAAGGGAGTTGATCGTCAGAAACTTATTTGAATAGACGATTTTTTGTTACTTCCACAATATAAAACCTTTCTTTCATCGGGAAACAATATCATTTCAAGATAACTCAGACAGTCAAACATTTTAAACGGATTGAAGAAAGGTAAAGCTGAAAAAAAACATTCGTACTAAATCATACATGACTGAGTACACAATCATTAGCGCGTTCGAATATTGAAAGATAATATGTTTTTCTGTAATTGTGTCTGGATGCAAAATTTACTGCATGTACAGTTAGAACTGGTTTACGCGTTATACTATGGACATAAGATATTGATTCGGTGACCACGATAAACGATTTAAAAAAAACTAGCAGGTTTGCAGGTTACCAAATGGTTCGGCAATCAATGTTCAAATTATTTCAGTCTGTATGTGCAAAATCAAAATTGGCTCATGCATATATATTAAAGATTTTAAAGTTGTTGACTTTATACTTCTGTTTAAGGGCTGTAAAAAAATTAGTAAACACAACATTAAGATTTGAAAATTATTATTCAGGAATGTAGTAGTTATTTCAACTGGTTTATTTAAGCTGTGATTTTAATACAAAGACCCATTAATAGTTAATCTTAAAATATTTCCCAATTATTGTTAAATGCTCATTTTCATCAATGTTGAACGCCGTATGGTGACAAATAGTGGCTCACTTCAACTTCATCTGGTATTTTGTGAACATTTGTTATATTGGTAATCATATCACATTTTTTGTATATAGTCTGTTCGATCCTTAAAATAAATAAATCTGATTTGAGGGCGGGAATTTCTAGAACCTGTTTCGTGAATATACTTTGTCATGTAGTCATTCTTTTATGTAACGAGTATTTCAAAAAACAGAAGTGATAATCAATCATACTACTTTCGGTTACCTTAAATGTGGTAACATTGATATGCGTTGTATTACATAAATCGCTGCAGGATTCCAATTTTTGTCAAAATAACAGAACTAAAAACGACTGACATAAAGGTGGGAGTTATGCTGGCTATAAAACTAGGTTTAACCAAACATATTATTCGGAAAATGCTTGAAGCAAGTCAGGAATATGGCAGTTTTACTTTTGTTCCTTTGATTGATAGCGTTTGATTTTGTTTATTGTATTTTGTTATGGACTTTCCCTTTCAAAATTTAATATGGAGTTCAGTATTTTTGTTTATCTTGTTTACTAATGGTAAACAAGAAATAATTGCATAAGTTTGTCGGAAAGCGTAATTTGATATCGGCGATATTACCGGGATGTTACATTTCAATAAGATTGCGAATTTAAAGCGTGATAGAATCAACTGGTATTTCAAAGCTTATGAATGCATGTAGTTTGGTAGAAAAAAAATCATCAAATATACCAGATTTAAAATTTTCTTGGTCAAATTCCATCTACAAAAGACTCTTAGAGACACTTGGTGTTTTGTAACGTCTTGAAACGGAAATATTTCTCAGTCTTTTCGAGTACGACTTCCGATTATTTTTACTGTTTCATTTCCGTTGATCAATCATCAGAATGCAGACGATTCTAGAGCAAGAATAGTTAAACTGTCTGATTTATTCTTCCCAGCTACTTTATATTTACTAGATAAAATTAACTGTAATAGCATAAGATTAAGTACTTGGACGAGAAATCAGAAATACATCAAACAATGTTGACAAAAAAACCATCGACATCGTGAATGCGAAATGACAAGTTCAGAGAGAAATTTCTGTATCTTCATGATCTTCTTCACGGTAAGTTTCTTAATTTAAACGCAGATTTAAAATCATTTAATAAAAGTGGTATGAACTGGCTGTTCCTGTATTGGCCCTGTTATAGATTCTCGATCAGCTGTATTGGCCCTCGACTCTTCGATTATCGGGTCTAATACACCTAACCTCGAATCTATAACAGGGCCAATACAGAAACAGCCAGTTAATAACGCTATAATATTAACTGAAAAAACTTGTCGTCACTCATTTAATATTTAATCAGCGTTATTTGTATTTCAAAAAAAGAGAGAAACCAAGAAGATAAATAAAAAAAAACGTAAATAAAAACAGACAACGTTATCATGGTGAAAAAAACGACGAAAAGTCAAATAACTAATTACACTGAAAACAAAGAACAAAGCAACACGAACCCCAACAAAACAAGTAGTAAAGTTTTAACGCAGATGCTCCACTTGTTGTGACTGTCGTGTGAACAAAACATTATGAACGTGTAAAGTAATTGAAAAAAAATTAATTCAAATCAAAACACAAAAGAGTAGACGACTTATATATATCCACGCTTTTGGGCAAATTCCAATGCATTCTTAACTCGCGTTTAGAAGAAGGCCAGATAAAACAATAGTAAAATGCATACTTGGCTAAAGTAAACGCCAATAATAACTCAATAAAAAAACTTGTGTACAATTGGATTACGTAAGGAAGATTATCGATAAGAATATACTAGTAACAGAAAAACTTGATACACATGTTAACTGTAGGGTGCGAATATGAACAAAGTACATGCCAATCAAAGGTGAACCTCCAAAACAAATTCCTATAAAGAAGAAATTAAATTGAAAGTACAAAATATCATGTCAGAACATTTTTTTTAGGGAGACATTGCGTATACAAACAGGAGATGGAAGGTAAAATGAATTGACTCTCCGTCAATATCAACTGCCAACTTCAGAACGTGGGGGCCAAAGGAAACGACTGGATTAAATGTATGATTTTGATAGAAAGGGTTCTAAAATTTAAATATGCAGAAAATTATTAAAATCTTATAGAAATGGTATAATACTAAAAACACAACAAAGACTATATAATACAAATCTAAGTTTTATAAAAAGCCTCAACCAAATAAAAGTTTTGATTTAGTTATTTTTTTCCAAAACCAATTACATATTAGAGCATTGCCTTAGAGATCGTTTGGGTTGCTGTCTCATACGAGTTTATCTGTTTTATTCGTACGGTGATATTTAATTGTTCAATTAAACGTCACAATTAAATTGAAAAAAGACACAATGTATACCAAAGCGACAAAACATAATCATAAGTTACAGAAAACAGGCAGTACACTACAATAAAAAAAAAACGAAAATACAAACACTGAACTGCAAAATTAAGATAGAGTATGGTCAAGAACCTGACCGATGTTCGAAATCTCGTAAATTGATTAAGAATGGACAATGCAAGTTAACAATAAAAACCGAGAGTGATCAAAAAGGGTATTCAAAATCTTTTATTAGTTAAAAATGACGTTTGTAACCAAGATTGAAAGATGAAAGAAATATATACTTACGGATAATCAGAAAGTTGGAAAACAACTTTGGCAGCAGGTTTGGTCTGGTCTGGAAATAATCATTGATATAAAAATGTTAAGCCAATGGTATTTTTCATTTAATTCATTATACATATTAACCTGTTATTTCATTGTTATTCTTGTGGAATGAAATAAAATTATTATTACTAAGGAAACAATTTTTTTGGCCTTGTTTAAATCCCTTTTTCCTCGTATGATTATACGCGTTGCTTGCTTCTGTCATAACTTATAAATCAGATAGATGATTGATGCGTTTTGAACGTTCACTTTTAATAAAATGTAAAACTTCGGTTTTTATGTCAACAGGCACTGATGATCCTAGACATATTTCCCTTTTGTGTATTATTTACTCTTTTATTACGTTATTGATTTTGTTTTTTAGCGGTTTGGTTTTCGAGAATATTTCCAGCCCAGTATTGTCAACTCCTACGCTGACAGGAAATACCGTTGATTCTTTAAGGTTTTTTTTATATTCTATTCTAATCAAAGTGGAAAAAAGAAAACACGAAGGTGTTTATAATCCCAGGCATAGATTGCTTTGGCAAAAAAGGCATAATTGTGTTTCGAACATTTTAAATTTTAGTCATCCACCAATTCGTTATTAATTTGCTTTTCTAATTATTTTTTTTTAGTGCACCACTTATTGTATAGACCAGACATTCTATTTAAATCATACATTGAATATATCTTTTTCAATTGATTAAATTTGAAGTAAATTGCAGTCAAAGCAGAATAGAAAGTACTTATTGTAAGTATTCACTATCGTCTGCAAACAAAACAGCATACATTTTGTGTTGAAAAACCTAACCATAAATGTGCATATGTTTTGTATATATATATATTACATGCTTACTTGTTTGCTTAGTTGTATAATGCAGCTGCAATACCAAGTGTTTCATTCGGGTTTTTGAGCCTACCTCAATCGACAAATCTAAATTTGAAATATACAATGCAGTCCTTCATAAATAGATTTTTTTCAAAGTAATGAATAAAATCATCAAAGATAAAAAGAAAAGGCAGTAATTACCATGCGTTTACACATCAACTCCTGTTGAAACTTAGATTTTCATCGAATGTTTGAAACAATAATATCTACGCTACGGACACTGAGAATGAAAAATAAAAAAAAAAACACATTTCGGGGTATATGGTACAGTAATGGGTCGATCTCTCTAATTGACTTTTTATCACCAACATAGACACAACTAAAATGCAACGAATTGCATATTAACCTAGCCGATCATATATAAAGCAACTGTTATACTGTCCGAGATTAGTTGCCAATGACGCACATGCACGCAATACACATGATATCACAACAAAGTTCCGTACTTGTGTCTTTTTTATACACTACAAAGCATAAGGAATCGTTATTTGTTAGACATGCAATTTACTCAAATTTGAAAATGATATTGTATATGAAGATGGGTTTTTTTTCTCTTCAAAAATGAAAAGAAGAATACCGATCTTATCTGTTACTATGCGTCCCATTTATGAAACAGACGTCGGTTGCTTAACGTCCAATGGCAAATGTTTCGTGCATGTTCAAGACGAAAACACAATAATAACACATTTTGTGAAAAATACAATAGGTAGGTCCTGTAAAAGATGCCGTTCTGGATGAAATTTTGACTGCCATGGAAATGAGAGTAATTTGGATAGGGACAGAGGTGATCCTTAGCAACAGGCCACCTACGAACCACTCAAAGAGTTGTTACATTGTGTCTTAATGAAAAAAGAGCGTGACACTCTCTCTTTACGAGGAATCGGATTTAACGTCCCCATTATGACCGGTTTCGGCTGCGTACTTGTAAATCCCGCTAAGCCTAACGGACGTCAAACTTTGTCAAGGTTAAAACTGCCGGTCAGAAGAAGACCAAAAGTTACAATATTTCTATTCCCCAGTTACCCTTGGGGCCTTTATTACTTGAAGTTCACCGATAACAATTGATATTGCTTCTTATGTATCATTCCTTTTTCAGAAGCCTTTCAGTAGCAAGGAATTTAATTTGAATTTGTCTCATACCAATCTTATAGAGATGTTTTGTTTTTATTTCAGAAAATTATGATACTCTATATCATTCAATCGTGTTCTATGCAACGAATTAAAGTACATAATGAAATTTAAAGACAAATTACTTGAAAAAGTTCAAAACCCAGTTATCAACTTTTTAAATCTGATATAAAATTTGTTAGTTTTACTTTTTTTGAAGTCGGTTGATTTTGCAAGCAATATTTTGGTTTCTAAACTTTAGATAATGAAATTTATACTAACCGTTTGGAAATTTAAAGTCATGTTTATCCACTGTGTATTTATCCCAACCTCCAAATCCAGCTGATGCGCCGACACAATTACTGCCTTGTGTAATCTTACATCCCCTATAAAAAGAACTAAGCTCTGTGATATGTATTATACAGTAAAAAAATGAAGTTAAAAGGGTATCACAAAAAACAAACGTCAATTTCAATACAATAAAAAAATGTCAATATTCTCATGTTTGCTTAATATTTCAATATTTCCTTTCTTTACACTAATTGTTAGAATTTGTACATCTTTAACATTTTTTCCTTACCGTGGATTTCATTTGATTTATTTATTAAAAAAGAAGCGAGAGATCGATCCTAAAGGGATAATCACAATCCCAAGAAATAAAAGGAACTGACAATGCCATGACAAAAAAAGATAAACGACCAACAAACAAACAGACAAACAGCAGAATACAAAACACGACATAGAGAGCTAACACGAACTCCATCGATGCCGAGAATCATCGCAGGTTCTCCAGAAGGGTAATCAGATCCAGCTTCACGTGTGCTTTACCTGTTGTGTTAATAAACGCCATGTGATACCTCATTGGGGCAACATACATGAAATTTAAAATCATAATTTTCTCGCTAAAAGTTAAAAACATGAATAATTTATGAGTTCAAATCAAGCACGCTAGCCTATTTTGTTTTTCTTTTTAGTAATATTGATGTATTATGGAATACATCTCACAAAAATACCATGTTATTGATAATTTTTTATTCAATATTTAGTTCAGTTCATTGTTATACTTTTCTAGGTATAACATGACTACTTTGGTTTCATTAGTAACCTATTCAAATTCAAATTCGTAAATATAATTTAGTTTGCATAGACGTTACGCACGTTATTGCGTCAATACCGTGAAATCAACCAGTCCATACTAATAAACAGCTTTTCTATCAAATCAAAAGCTATATAAAATGTATATCAATAGACTAGACAGGTAATTCATATTCCGAAAAAATAAAAAAAAACAGTTTTATCATATTTTACAAAAGTCTAAAATGAGGACAAACATATTGACAAAACGTCAAAAACATGCGTGTCAGACGTAACAGACTATAGGCATAATAACTTTTACAGGGGTGTTTGTTCTCTTCGAAACAGTGTTATATCCACGAAAATTCGCATGAATGATATGCTTCATATATAAAGTATTACAATATTACTGAATATGCGTTGATGTAACTGTCAAAGCTATTTTTTTACAAAACAAAATAGTCTTCAATATGGTCAGATTTAGGAAAATGGCAAATTATCAAAATTTATAGGTTTTTAAAATATAAGATTATGTAAAATTTCGTTTTCATAAATTATGCTCACAAAATTACTTAGATAGGTCATATTAAAACCGAATTTTTGCTGCACTCACCTAACAAATAAGAATGCAACGGCTTCTGGCAAATATCTTGCAAGAATGTCCCAGGTCGAATTTCGCCGCTTTTTACAAGTAAACTGTCATTTGAGACGTTATTTATTGCAAATTTCGATTTGTTGCATACAAAATAGTGCTTTTCCGTTATTGCACTTTAACTCTACAAAACAGTTGCATACTTTTTGATAATTTGCAGAGGCGAAACGACTTCGTTTTCAAACAAATTCAATATCTCGCAAGTTTGTCCACTGGACGATTTTCTTACGTTTTCAACGTTGTCGGTTCTGGACGCTATGTCTTTCAAAATCAAATTGTTTGGTTTTTTTTTAGTGTTGGATGCAACTTTTAGACCCCGTGGTTATTTCATATTGGAAATTCTTCCGTAGTATCATGCAACAAGACCACAAAGTATAAAAAAATCCGATGACTGGGGTTGTTAGTTTAGATGAGGTTCTAAAGTTGTGAACAGGCTATATTACGAAAGGATGAAAAATCGTTAATTTATTTTCAAATTTGGGAAGCGTTAAACTGCAATTTGTTATTTCTCTGCAATAAGATGCATATGTATAGAACTTGAAAGTGAAAATAAAATTGTTGTGGCTATATACTCCTATATCATACAAAGCTTGTAAACATATATGGGATGAATATTACTATTTTTGTCTGACAATCGTTGCATTTCTTAATTCAATTGTTCCGTTATTTAAAAAAGTAAAGTGTACTTCATAAGTAAGACCCGTTTAACTTGTAATTCCCTTCAAACTTTTTTTTGTTAAAACAAAATGGATATCTTCTTCCTTTTTGAATTTAAATGGGGAAATATTGCATTTAAGTACTTTCTATTTCATTTGGTTTCTGGTAGAGAGTTGTCTTATTGGCACTCATACCATATCTTCATATTTTATATAGACAATTATCTTACCCAAATACATCAACTGTGCCGTTACTTCTAGTGGGAAATATTGCATACATATTTAGTGCAACCAAACATTTAGAAGTATCCATAATGATGCGCAAAAAAAAAATTGGCAACGAAATAAAAACATATCCTCAATAATTGGCGTAAAATGTCAAATTTTGACGTTTCCAATTGAGACGCAATATCGTGCGTAACGTCATATGATACGTGTTACAAAGAACATCTACTATACAGAAGTAACAAATGTATAAAAATTCTTTGCTAGCTAATAAGTTTGTTATGTATGCGTACAATTTAAGTCTGTCTGTCAAATATTTAAAAGATACATAAGATTAAATAAAAATCAGTACCATATCTCTTCCTTTGATATTGCTTCTTCGCAAACGCTTGTGGTCAAATGATGCACTCGGGAACGATCAACATCCATGTGAAGTCCAACTGATATTGCAAAATCAATTATGTACAATATGAATAATAAACATATGTATATTGTTAAAGGCTTGAAGCTGACATTTGTTTTTTTTTTCTATGTTTTTGGTTGCTGTCTCGTTGAAGTTTACCTTACATGTAACTTTGTGTTTTCAAATAATGATAACTTTTTCAAGCTATGTTAGACTTCAAAATTAACGCAAAAATAAGTATAGGGATTTGTAGCTCGATTTAAAAAAAAAAGACAACTAACAAATTAATGACCAAATAAAAAAGATACGTACAATTGTCAGAAAATAACTATCATATAGGTAGACAGCAACCATGACAACCATGGACAAACTTTTAAAAACAGGTACCTTACCTTAAAACAGCTCAACAGAATGTGGCGATGTTAATGTTGCTGGTTTGGAATTCAACGTATTACCACGCAAAAATACCAGTCACGGTGACATAAATAGCGTAGGAAAAAACCAAAGAAATCAGTTGAAAAGGACTTAACTCATTAGATCGACACGAAGCAGGAAAAAAATTAGCACAATCCCTTAAGACATTAAGTACCGATCTAAATGTATTCTAAGTTTAAACAAGTAAATCTTTCCTCAAAATCACTTACGTCCATCGATATATATATATATATATATATATATATATATATATATAAGTATATTATAACAAAACGCATTTGACTAACAACGGATGTTCTTAAACCCTGCTGACTGCCATTGGCGATTGCAAAATAAACGGATCACAAGATGTAACAAAATGGATCTATATTATTAATTTAATACCAAACAGAAAACAATAAACTTGCAGAAAAGATGGTATACCGCAAACATGAGGTGTAAAAATTTGTACACAGTATCCGGATTTCGACAATTAATGTCTCTTCAGTGATGTTAGGAATCGAAACGGTATTTGGAAGGCCATATAATTTACCTCAATTTTAGATAGACTCTTGAATTTTGAAGAGTCGAAATATGATGAACGGATCATATAAACCCGAATCCTATTTCGGCTATTTCGACTCTTCAAAATTCAAGAGTCTATCCTAAATTTAGACTATATATAATTATGCACAGAAGATTTATCCAAAAGGCAGTTCGAAATCGGACTTGGGGATCAAATAACGTATTCCTCCTTTGAAGAAATATACATGCTATAATGATACTGGTTAAGTTTAATTGGAAGACTTTTTATAACTATTTTAAAGTATGTCGGAATTTATTTCACTTAAGTTAAGCTATCAATTCATTTACTTAATTTTTTGTCAAGTTTGAAGAGACATAATGAAACAAATATCTATGACTCACCAATATAAGCTCGTTCAAAGTCGCTGAAAGGAATAACTCTACAAACATATGCTTCCTCCTGAAAATATTGACTTCTTGTCTGAATTTCATTAGAACACTGTTCACACTGTATGGTTTTAATTAACAAGGGTGTGATGAAAAACAGAGTTACAAGGAAAAACTACAGAAATCAATATGAACACATTAGGTTTTTTATCATATGTAAGTGGTTTCTTTTCACTTACCTCTAAAGTATCAATAGAAGGCATTTCTACGGTAAAAGTTTTGGAATGTGTTGAGCGCATCATTGCCAGAAAAGCGAAAAAAATAAAACAGTACATTATTGAATTCGTGTGAAACATGTCAATCTCAATAGTATTGATCTGAAAATAAATCCAAATATTGCTATATATTGTGTTGTCCTCTCAAGATATCAAAGTATACTCGACGAACTATAATAGTGTTGATTTACAGCTGTTGTGTTCCCCTCGCTTAAAACAAAGTATTTCAAAACAAACTTTCGTCGACATTAATCTTGTTTATGTAATACGTAATTCGGTCAGCAATGTTAACCTTGATCTACATGATACGAACGAATAATATGCATGCCTAATAAGGCTAAATATTGGAACACTTTCGGCGCAAAATCTCAGGTACCTTGCAGTTACAAGTTATTTTAAGCGAATATATATAAAAAGATATACATCCTAAAAAAGAGTAAATAAAAAAATATTAAACAAAGTAGCAAAATAGTGCAAAAACAGTATATCATTTGTACAAGAAAAAAGTATTCTACTTTATTGTGTGACCAATATAAGTGTGTAGGACATGATTTCTTATCATCAGATTGAGTACTTTGAAATTGGTTTCAATTACCGCGACCATTCTCAATTACCTACTTTATCAAGTTGAACATTATACATATTAATTATTAGTAAAGCTAAAATTAACCTTAAGCAACAATACCTTGAACTTTACATGGCTTTGTTATATTCTACTGCGCATGCCACTCACTTAAATATGGTATTCTTTTATCAGTTCTTCCA